CTGCTGAAGGAGAATCCCCAGGTAGAGCCGCAGAGAGCGTAGGCACCCTATTCTCTTTGTGCTGCTTGTTTGTTGTGTTCTAGGTGTTGTGTGAAGGATAGTAGGGGATCTAACCAGACTCCGAGCATCCTGAGCTCTGTGTCTGGCTCCTTGGTGATGTGTCCTATCTTCAGGGACGCTGTGATTGTGGCGTTCTTCTTCCTGGTGGAATACATGAGGCCAAACTTCTCAGGAGCGAATACTGAGGCATGTTGCTTTGCCCGGGGCATTATCTCCTCATTCAGGGTGTGTTGTAGCAGCCTGCAGTTGGCTGTCGCTGACCTACCCAGGACAGTGATGTTGATGTCGTCAATCCAGCCCATTGATGACGTTCGCTTCTCCCTCTTGTTTGTTAAGGCCAGCAGTTCGTCGTTGAAGTATAGGTAAAGTATTGGCGATATTGGTGAGCCTTAGGGAATGCCTGTGTTGGTGCTGTACTTGTTAAAGGTGTATTCTGGCATTCTTATGGTGGTTTCCCTGTGCTGTAGAGAGACTGTGTCCAGGCTACCAGTTGTGTTGGCACCCTCCTCTGTTTCAATTGGTGGATGAGCATCTCATGGGAGACATTGTCAAATGCACCGGAGACGTCCAGTGACAGGACTGTGGCTACTGGTGTGCCCTTGCTGGAGAAGGCTGCTGTAATTCTGTCCATTTGGAGGTGCATGGCATGCTCTACTCCATTAGTTCTGCGTCCTCCAATGTGGCCAGGAGACAGGGCTCCTGTGGTTTCTGCATGGTATGATAGGCGTTGAGCCACAATGCTCTCCAGTATCTTACCCGTAGTGTTGAGAAGTGCTATGGGTCGATATGCCTTTGCTTTGCTGTAGTCTGGTTTGGCTGGCTTCCTGAGTACCACTGTGAGTGATTCTCTCCGGGCTTTGGGGTGGTATCCATGGCATAGGCAGGCGTGGAAGATAGGTGTTAAGTATCTGGCCAGTGGCTTGAGAATCCAGTGTAGACACTGGTTCGGTATTTCATCAGGTCCTGGCGCCTTACCTGCCACCGCTCTTTGTATAGCTCTTTCCACCTCTTCTACGGTGACTGGTTCCATCTTTTCGGCCATTTGATAGTTGAAGTCGTTAAGAATGGATAAGTCCGCCGGTGGTGGTGTAGGAAAGAAGGCTTCCTTAAGCAATTGGGCCTTCTCTTCTGGTTCGTATGCTAAGGTGCCGTCTGATTTGGTTAGGGATGGTGTGTATCCTGCAGATCTGTTGCCTCTGTTGGTGCCCATCTGCATAGCTTAACCAATCCATCTGCTGTGAGTCCTGCTTTTTCGACATTCTCTCTGTGTATTGTAGTGAGTTTTCGGCCAACGAGCGCTGTTTTCGCATTCCTAGTCACCCTGTAGGCTTCCCATGTCTCGTCTGTCCTTATCCTTTGCCATCTTCGCCTCTTTCTGTTGGCCTCCTGGCAGGCTGCCTTGCACTCCTCATCGGAGCCTGGCCTGCTGTGTGGGGTGATTTTGGTGTCTGGTACTGCCTCTGAAATGGCTATCCTGATGGCAGAGGTCAATTGTTCGATGGATTCATTGATGGACTCGGTTGTAGGGCATTTTGACGGTTTGTTGAGGTTGATGGAATTGTTAAGTGTCTCCTGGAAGGTAATCAGATTAGCCTTCTTCCACTGCTTGGCGAATCTTGGCTGTGCCAAGGGGAGTGCCAGGTTTATCCTTGTTGATATCGACCTATGATCTGAGTCTGTTTCTGCGGCGGAATGTATACCGCGCTTGATAATCCTCTGGTTAACAAGGTGATTAGCCATCACCAAGTCAATGGTGGTTGATCGGTCTTGAGACTGCCATGTTTTGATTCCGACTGGTAGCAGACTTTCCAGGCGGTGTTTGTCTGCCAGTTCGGTAATGTGAATGCCTTCCCTGGTTCTCCTTGTGCCTATTCCTCCCCATCTAGGGTGGTGGGCATTAAAGTCCCCAAGTACCAGGTGTTCGTCTCCTTGGCTGAGCTTCTCATCCAGGAGATCTAGGAGGGCTGTGGTGTCCGCTGAGGGTTGGCTGTAAACGTTGTGTATCCATAGAGTTCTAGGTGTTCCTCCTTCAGTGAATCTTAGCTGAATGGCGCAGTAATTGGTGTGCCACGGGTGAAAACTCCATTGAGTTGCGTCAATCTTCTTGTAGATGAAGAAGCATGTCCTGGCCGGGGCCTGATGGTAGGAGGGCCTCGTATATGTTGCTGACCGGGTTGTGGGTGATAGGCTGGTCCTTAACCAGGGATTGATATAGGGCTCCTGGATGGCCAGTATGGTGTATCTTTGATGGACCTTTCTCCTCAGGAGGGCGCCATAACCATATTCTTGGAGCGTAGGACGTTGTACTGCAAGATAGTTATCTCTGGGTGTTGTGTATTCATTTAGGATGGGGTGTGTGGGCTCTGTATCTTATCCTCATGTCCCCTGTTGCTTCCTCCTGATATTCCTCGTCTTCCCCTGTCATGGCGGTGTCCACAGG